TGAGCGATACTGTACATACCTCCTAAGTGTCCTGATAAGGCTTAAAATCTTCGTGAAAGTCCTAGCTTCCGAAGATACTTCTTTTGAGGTTATTTATGAAAAACGATTCGTTTTTAAACTGAATAAAAGAGAAGATTGCTTTTAACAGTTACCATAAAAAATGATTCCGTGAGATGTCCTACAATTAATTTACTAGCTACCGGTAACACTTTTTGTAAAAGGGCCTAATTTTTGTCCTTTGAGATTATTAAATATATATACAGTGGTGAAAATATAAATAGGGAACAGACATTTAGCAAAATATTGCCAAAGATCAACGGTATGTCCTAGCTACTTCAGGCTTGCACTGTATTCCATACATCTGATTGAAAAGTTTCAAATTTTGATAAGCATTTGTTAATATTCATCGATTTTTTTAAGAGCTCTGCAAAGTTTGAAATTTCGGTTTACATGGTTTTTTTCTTAGACGGTAAGCTATATTTTCATAAAAAGTAATAAAAAAAAATTTAGGCAAAGAAAAGTAGCTGAAACCTGCTAAAATGTGTCTTCTCTGTTTACATTCTCGCCACTGTATATCTGATAAAAAAATGCTCATATGTAGCCAATACAAGTTTTAACTTATCCTTGTTCTACCTACGGGTTAATCACTTAGTACTCAATATTGAAAGAAAAAATCCAATCAAGTAAACAACGCGATGTGATGCTAAGAGGGAATAAGTCAAGTTGGGAATACAGGTTGTGGACACGATGGAGTTGCAAATCGCAAGTGGTGATTAACAGACACTAAGCGCGCAGCATATTTTTAGCTAGTAATCACAACAAGAAAAACTTTAAAAAACCAGCAACGATAAGCAAAAATGAATAAGGAAGAAAGCTGCACCATAGGTACATGAGAAAGAAAAAAAAAACAAAAAGTTTCGTCCGGGATAAACTTGCAGCCGCATACGTAAACAAGTCATAAAAGTTGGCGACCAAAGCAAATGCTAAAAAAAACTAAAAAGAACAAGTAAAATAGATATATGTATGTACATATAAGAAGGCATTGCGGCAGCCAAACTAACAACCAGCCAACCGACCACCTGGCCGGCGATGGCCAATCAGAGCAAAGCAGAACAAATTATAACTTAAATCTTTTTTCAGTGCATTTTTGATGGCTGACTGCCGCAGTTGCGCTATTGATTGTGGCAGCAAGTCGTACGTAAATGGTGGCGCGTATGTTGCAAGTGTTTTTGTATGTATGTATGTATGTATCTATGCGGCTGCGGCGTTGTACTTTTTTTTTTTTTGCGCGCCGCCGTGTCCTTTTTATGCGTTACTCTACTTTAATATTCTATATTTATGAGCGTGATTGCAGCATGCGAATGCTTTTCCTTGTATTTTCATGCCGTCGTGTTTTTGCTGCTGCCTTTTTTCTGCAGCAGTAATTGTCAAATTGAATAAAATTTATGAAAACCGTGTGTGTATGGATGGCGGAATGCATCGTTATCGAAGCGTAGAAGCAAATGGGAGCGACTATTGAGATTGTTGCGCGCTTACGCGGAGGTTAACTGTGGATGGTGAGTGTATGTTGGTGTAAATACAAAAAAAAAGAAACAAAACGTTTAAAAATATTTAATAGCATTAGTGGTAGAAAAAGATTGACTGCAAGCTGTTGTATTAGAAATTCTTCGTCTCAGATGTTTATATGCTATAAATTGTTGCTGATTCGCCAGCGGACGAGACTGTGTTGCAATAAGTTTTAGCAGTTAAATACGCGTATGTATTAACTCGGAATGGTGCAAGCAATAATTTGTAATAAAAGCGATGCAGGAATGTTAATGTTTCTGGATTTTATGTTTTTTTTTTGGAAGAGAAGAAAAAAATGTGTTTGATTTATAACTTTTGTATTTTATAACCTTATTTTACAGTAGTCAGTTGATGGATTTTTGGTGTTGATGATCTTTCATTTGATTACCAATCGCAGAAACCAGCAGAAGTTACTTAACCCAACACCTTTTTCCGAAACTTAATCGCAATGTCAGTGGAATACGTTTTAGCAAAGAGTGTAAGTGTGAGTGTGAGCGTGCTAAATACTAACGTGACATTAAGATTAACTTAATTTAATACAAGCAGGTTTTGCGTTCTTTTTCGTCTGTTTGTTTCGCGCGAACTCTCCTACGCGGAAAATGTGGTTTCAATGCCGCAACATAATCTATTTGGTTTCTCGGGTTTGGGTCTAAAGACAGCCACATAAATAGGTTGGTAGGTCTTTGTATGCTGGCATCTGTTTTAGGCCCTGTGAATCTAACAATATGTCTCCGATCCGTATTGCATGTTTTTTCGTCGGCAAAATTCGGACAGTGGGACTACAGTTGCCTTCCATGGCCACTCTGCGATAGCACGACTCTAATATCGCAATGGTTCAGCGCTTGTAAGTGCACTCATAGCAAGATTTTTGGACGCCTCATGCTTTTCTTCCGCCGAATGACGAAGAATCTCGCTTTGATGTGGATTGTGGCTAGAAATTCATTCGACTGACTGAGCTACAGTACTAGTCGGGTCGTTTTTCATGCCTTGATCCGTCCATCGCATTGCCTTTTCAAGGTCATCAGCCAGTTGTATGGAAGTATCCTCCATACTAAATGGATCATGCTCTCAAATCCGACTCCTTTATATTTTTGTTGGGACCGCCAGAAAAAATGAAAGTATCAAGGCTTTCTGCGCTTTTTCATTGAAAGCTGTTTTTATGTGGTAGGTTGCAAACCCAAAGTATAATCAGAACCTATGCAAATTTTGTTAAGTACTCGCTTATATAGCCAGCGTTGAACCGAGTACGTCGAAGCAGCTTCGCCAAGGATCTCTCTCTCTTTTTACCGTAACCTAGGGCTCCACACGGGTTGGTTACCGCATCTCGTATATGGATTGCTCCCGTTTGTCGACAGGAATTTAGTTAACTTTGGTAGATATGTAGTTAGGTATTTCTTGAGACATAGGGGGATCTATCCTTTAGGAAATTCATTCAATTTTTAAATGACATCGTCCGTATGTGATAAGGCACCGGATTGTTGAAACGAGGTATTTCTCTGGTCTTCTCGGTATCGCGTTCGAGGAGCAGGGGCTCAGAAGGTTTACAAAAACAACCTGAAGCGTCGGATCAGAGCCCGAGTTTATATAATTGACTTGTACAGTTGACTATTAAAATTCTTATTTTTTTCTTAGAGCGGTTTATAAGCTTAACAATAATTTTCGTATTGTATGGTTTTACCTTTAAAAATTTGTATCATATAGAGAATGCTGTTTGAGAGTGTTATGAGATACGACGTTTAGTTGGTAGTCGATCCGTTGGAACTGCGCCCTTTGAGCCACAACGTCATCAAAAAGCTGTGCCCTGAGGGTTTACATATTTCGAGAAGGTACCACGGCCGCTGTGGTTAGAATTGCGCACTACCTTCCCGCTGGGCCTGGGATTGAGTCCAGTTTCCGACTAGCATCAAAAACGAAAGAAAAGAAAAAGTTTTGCTAATAGCGGTCAACCCTCTGCAGATAAGGGCGAGCCTCCGGGTGTATTTCTGCCAACAAAAATAGCTTCTTATTACAATACAATCGTCGCTCGGAGTCGGCGTAGAAATGTAGTTCCCTCCTGTTTGGGTGATAATATCAACACGTGTGCCACAAATAGGAGGAGAAGCCCGACCCAACGCTAAGTTATTTGTTGGCTAAGCGCCAATCAATTATTAATATTATTATTACAACTTTCTCTTTTCCATAACTCTCCTCCATTATGAAGTTTATAAGGCATCGTTTAGCTTGCTTTGGGGTCATTCAAGTATTACGTTAGCAGAGTTTCAAGTAATTTTCAGCGAAAGTAAGCAAAGTTCTTACCACCCCTCCGCTTCTGTGCATATGTTATCATTGGTTTTTAAAATCGATTAATGTTTTTTCATGGCCAGCAGTTATGAAGTCTAGAAATGAGGAGTTTATTGCCAAAATTTGTTATACCAAAAAAACCTGTTCACATTAGAATCTACCAAATTTTCCAGAAAAATAAAAATAGTAAATAAATTAACCCTCTATAACTCGAAACCTTCAAATTAAAAATTTTTACCGGAATCGGTAAGATTTATGAATAAAACATAAACATATTATTATTTAATTTCGAAACTTTTTATTTATTATGCATATTATTACAATAAAAGGGAGTGTAGCTTACAGGCAACAATGAGTAACAGTGATACAAAAAACAAGCAAAATTAAGAGTAAAATGAAAATTGCTTAGGACAGGTGGAAGATCCTGAAACAATTTTTGTTTTTGGTATAGCATAAAGCTACGCCACACTTCTCACACACTGTGTGAGTGAACCCAACACACTTTGGGAGTTTACATCGGATTTTTTTTCCGCCCATTGTTTTTGTCCCCATCTTACATAGAATTTCGGCAATTTCCAGGCGAAAATCTGCGGACGCAAGGATAGTCTTATCAGGAAGATTTTTATATTTGCAGACCCTCTTATAGAGTAGCCATGAGTTAGCCATAGTAAGGTCTAAGTAGTGATAGAACAGGCGCATCTGCCAACGTTTGCTCCGCAGTCGTATCTTGTAGATGCCCATAATGCTGTCGACAAGGTCTACACCGCCCATATGTCGGTTATACTCGCCAACTACATGAGGTCGTGGAATGTTAATATACTTCGAGTTCTTTTTGTCGTATCTTCGGACTTCAGATATAGGATTTTGGCCAGCAAATGTAGAAGCCAATGTAACCAGTTTATTGTCTTTCCATACAACCGTTGACACGTCGACACCGTTAATATTAGATACGTATTCTTCCGAATATCCACGATCTTTCTTCATTATCGCTTTCTCTGTAGACAGCTTGCAATCAGGAATTCTATTTCTTCTAATAGTACCTAGCCCAAGAATACCTTCGTTTGCTAAATATTCCAAAAGAGGCAAAGATGTAAAGTAGTTATCGAAATAGATCCTGTAGTTTTGGTGTCGCGGAATCATACGCGATAATCTCACTACGACGNGAGTTCCAATATATCAGAACGCAATGACACGTTGCCAGTGAAAGCCAGCTGCTGTGCATTCAGCTCCAGATTCTTTTTTTTCCACAGTAATGTAAGCTTTTCAGGCTTTCGCCGTTTAGCGGGAGGACCTGAAGTACCTGGAATGTCTGAACTAGACGTTATCGGATCTACTTCTACCTCATGGTTAGAGTTATAGTCGTCATCGTTTAAGTAGTCTACTAAATCATCCATATTAAATTCGACTCCCATAGACTCTTCATTCAACTCTCCTAAATCCGGGTCAAAGTCAGGGTCAGCCAAACTATCGTCATCAAGGTCGAGACCATCTTCACTTGCAGAATCATCTTGCAGTGCACAGGCTATCTCTTTGTCTGTCAGCCGTCGTAGTCGGTGAGCCATCCTAAAACGAAATAACAACTTATATAAATGTTGGCAGTGTTCATACAAGACAGTTCCCTTTTCCGCATAATGTAGCCTACAAGACACAAACGCTAAATACCACCTAATACAAAAATACCTAGACTATATCAAAAAAACATAATAATATAGTAAACTTTGAGCACTTACCTTATAGATTTTCACAAAAACAAGCACCAATAAACGTAAAAACTAATTTGTATTATTTTTTATCTTTAATCACGTGTCGACTGTTTGCAATTTTTCACTTCACTAACAAAATCGCGTCGTTTGAAACAAGTAACGGCATATACTTGGTTTTGCTTGCATTTGATTGAAAGAACGGAGTGTAGGCTACATTCTACAATGCTTGACCAGACGTACAAATAATTACAAAAAGAATTTAGGAAGGCGAAACGGTTTGTTGCCTGTAGTCTACCATACGTTATAGAGGGTTAAAATTGCTGACCTAACAACACCACCCTCGCCGCCCACTAGTTGTTCCGTATTACTTGAGTAGCCCCTGAGGGGCAAGTCACCAATCAATGTTGACAGTACCTTTGGCCATATGAACTAACTATTAGTGTTCCTTGGGCTGATGTTTTTTTTAACATTATTTTAGTCTGCAACACAACGTTGTTGTTCTATACCGAATTGGCGCAAAAATATGAAAAGTACAGAAAATAACCGCAGCGAAAACGAGACGCAAAGCCAGTGTCTGCAGGCAACAGCAATGACATAAAATCAACCGCACGGCAGCAACGGCAGGCAACACATCAGCGCCACAGCCACTGACTGCCGCCGCTGCTTTGCCACAGCGTTGCAACTTTCGTAGAATCACTTAACGCTTGATTACAGATTGAGTGCGGCCAACAATGATGATGACGACAAGAATGATAGGACCAAAACAACTAAAAAATAACAACAAAAATCACGCATTGTTGCTATTGTTGTTGTTACGAGTATAGCATCAACTTTTTTCTTATAATTCTGCTGCTGAATTTGTTTTAGTTATCGTAGTTGGTTGTTCTTTTTGGTTGTTGCTGTAATTTTTTGTGATTAGTGAGTCTCGCTGTTATTGTTATTGTTGTTGTATTTATATGTACATATGTATGGTAAGTTGAGCCTGACCGTCGCGTCGTCGATCGAGCACACTGATGACGATGATGACACACGTTGATTGCCGCTGACTGTTGTGTTGCAAGTTGCCGACAACGCCGCAGCCAAAACACAGCTACTGGTTGCACTGACGTTTCGCTTTTGATGCGTTCAACATTATCGCTTCGGTTGCTTGTGCTTTTTGTTGTTAACTGACTTTTCGTTCATTGCTTTTTATGCTAAAGTGTTTATGCTGCAGCTCTTGTCATGGTCGCCGTTTCAGTTGTTTTTTTTGCTTTAGTTATCGCAGACATTTTTTATGAGCGCTTGCCACTTCAAATTGCTTTTGGCATGAGGAAAAAAACCACACAAGAGCTTCGAAAAGGGCTTCACATTCTGTGTTTATTGTTGTTGTGCATATTCATAATTTGATTTATTTTTTTGCTCAAATCATAATTTTTATTTAGTTTTTTTTTTTTTTTTGGTTATTTACTAAAGTGCAAATCACTTTTTTGTAGTGGATAATTTGTATTTTTCGCTGCACCCCGAGTCATTGCGTTAAATTTCATGCCTTCGTGTAGAGTTTTTTGTTGCCATGCACTTGCCGATGATGCCGCTGTTGTTGTGGTCGCTGTCCCGCCTACATTTTTTTTTGTAAAAATTTTACGCTACATAAATAGTCTTATAAAACCTTAAGTTTAGTTTTTTATCACTTTTACATATAACGGTCTAAAATACCAAATCCGCCCTTAAGTATGTAAAATTTCGACCCTACTTTTTTGGTCCGTGACAGTTCTGCCATTATGCATTTCAAAAAAAAATTGTGGCGTAACGAAAACCTACTGAATTCATATGCTGAAGATGCTTTTTCGACAACAATTAAGCATCGAATTTCCAACTATTTTTTGCACACTCCAATCTCTGGCTTACGACACGCTTTTTAAGGCTTCTCAAAAGAATTCCATTGTTTTCTGTTTCACTGTCTCATTAATTATATTGGCAAATTATAATTTGCCCCCATCCTCACAAAAGGCTTGGCTGACATGTTTTTGTTTAATGTTCAATGTGGTGCTACATTTCTCTCAAACACAAGTCCTTCTACCAATCATGACATATACTCAAGCAGCACACTGGCGTAGGTATATGTAACTTGGTGTAAATTTGTGAATTTTAGTACAATTAATCAGATTTATGCCAAAATTTGTAAATGTACACCAACTTATACAGCAGTGTTTTGAGTAGTACATATGCACATTAGGGTGGTCCTTAAATGTAGTGAGCAAATTTTTACATCAGATTTTCTAAGCCTCAGTTAAGGCGTGTCGCACAGGGGTTTAAATTCAGATTACCCTATGAAGGCTTGAAAAATTAAAATTAATTTAAATTTCAAAATGTATTTTTTTTCCATCTAATACCCAAAATCTATACTAGCATAGTGGCAGATATCACATATAAATTTTGGTCTTGATAGAAGGCGGTTAAGGCGTATCGCACAGGGGTCAAAGTACAGATTACCCTATGACGACGTTTTAACCGACATTAATCGGAAATAAAATTTATATGTGATATCCTCGACTTTGGTAGTATCGATTTAGATCGTTAAACGAAAAGACATATTTATAATTTTTTGAGTCCATTAGAGGCCTTTGGCCCCTTTGCGGTACGCCTTAATCGACTCCAATCGGGACCAAAGTTTATATGGGATATCTGCGACAGACTGAAACAAATCGTTCGTGGTTAGGACCACCCTAATGTACATATACATATAATTATGAATTCAAGAGCGCTCAGTAAACAAAGATCTTAGGATTGTGTATAAGCGGGGTCCTTGGCTTGCACTAAATGCAAAAGCTGCATTAACTTCCACTTGAAACAGTAAGGCTGAGAGAGTTCAGGAATCGAGATAACTTTAGGTCATTCGCTTATTCTACCGATCGTAACCCCCAATTACATTCGATAAGCACAAGTATAGCAAGCCTCACCATATGCCTAATGCCCCCATAATTTATACATACATACATATGCATAGCTCTCAATTTGACGATGGAGTAGGCGCAAGTAAATCGCTACTGGGGCAATCTACCAGGTTTACAGCATTCCAATACACTTTCAAGAATATATAAGCCAAAACTCTTTAAGGAATGTATGAGCTTATTAAAGCAAAAAATTCGAATTGTTACAGGAATTCTGGCAGGACAGTGCAGGCTGAACTATCACTTGATCAAACTGGGAATTTACTAGCAGGGGCGATGCAGATTTTGCAGGACGGAAACCGAAACTGTGCGACAACTTTGCCAACCTCTGTCCTGTACCAATCTAGAAAAAAATGCACTGGGGTGATCATACAATAACCGAGTGGGCGGTTAAGTCCAGAGCTTGGGCTCAATACTCAAATGTACACGCGCATCGAAGTCCAAGAAATACTCAGTACTTGGTCGAGGCACTCGAGTATATATCGTCGCTCCCAACGAAGAGTAGCACATCTCAAATTACCGTGGAAGACTAGCACGTTTCACTATTCGCGCCGAAGACTAGCACATTTCATTATTCGCGTCGAAAAGTAGCACATTTCAGATTCTCGCGTGGAAGACTAGCACATTTCACTAATCGCGTGGAAGACTAGCACATTTCAGATTTTTGCGTGGAAGACTAGCACATTTCAGATTTTTGCGTGGAAGAGTAGCACATTTCGTTATTTGCGTGGAAGACTAGCACATTTCAGATTTTTGCGTGGAAGACTAGCACATTTCAGATTTTCGCTTGGAAGAGTAGCATATTTCAGATTGTTAAGCCGCGAAAACTGCACGTCTCCGGTTTAAAGTAAATCAGAAAAGCATAATATATATTGAAAATTCAAACGTTTATTCTATATTTCTTTAATTGTATTATGAAAATCATGAAATTCAGACGGTATATACCGTTTACTAATCATTTGTTGAATATCATCCACTTTTCTTTTTTTTAAAGGTATTTTTCCCTTGTAAGCTTTAGGCAATTCACAGTGTTTCATGGTTGACCATTGAACATTTTTTTTCATTAGGTTCAACTTCTCCTCGCTTTGCATAAAGTCGTATTTTACTGCCATGTCTACTTGATTTTTGCTATTTTTTATTGTAATTTTCCGTACATGTGATATCTTAATTTTTTGCCAATGAAAATATTTGGACAGTTCTTCGAAGGAAAATATTTCATTTGCGTTTGCGTTGTTGAAAATTTGTTGAGTTTTTTTAGTATTCTCCTGGGCTTTAAACTTGGGCCAATATGGATTTTTTTAAGAGAATTAACTTTATTTTAATTGAAGGTTTTTTAAGTAAATAAATAAACATAACATAAATAATATCACTTTGAAACGGGGTGCTCTTGATATGATACTGTATGTATATGTTTTTTCGTATTTATTTATAAATAAAGATTCCCTGAGAAAGACGCGAATGTCGAAAGGTGTAGGAGGAAAAATAAACGTTTATTTTACTTGTAATAACCGGCCAAAAGGCTCCATATACAACACTAAACTTTCAGCATGACCGAAGAAAAATAATTATAGTATAAACATACATATTTATGTAACTTTTTTTTTTTAACGGCTGCTACAACCTTATATGAACTGCCTTGCGTATCCCTCTTCCACACAAAAATCTGAAATGTGCTAGTCTTCCAGGCAAATAACGAAATGTGCTACTCTTCCACGCAAAAATCTGAAATGTGCTACTTTTCGACGCGAATAATGAAATGTGCTAGTCTTCCACGCTAATAGTGAAATGTGCTAGTCTTCCACGCGAATAGTGAAATGTGCTACTCTTCGTAGGGACCGACGATATGTACTTTGAAGTACTGGCATCGGGACATCACAACATGCAAGAGATTTGTATGCAAATATTTCTACATCGATGATTTTTCTAATAGATTTGGAAATGAACATGAAAACTCTCAACAATCCATTAAAAAATTAAGCTAAGCTTATTTGCATTTAAAATCAATAATTAAAATCCAAATGTAACACCACATGCCGCAGCTCAAACAAACATCACAAACAATTTAAAACCAAATTTATCACCGAAAAACAAAAGTGGAATATATGTATGCATTTAGTAAACAAAGGCAATTTAACAACAACGGTTAAGACAAAACAAAAACACTGTCAATCAAAATTAAAACTAACCAACCAAAATGCATAGAAAACAAGAGTAGGCACACACACTGGAGTGCAACTTCAGATTCACAGCTTAAGCATAGTTAGTCTAAAGCTTTCAATCGAAACGAGATTTTAAGTTCAACGCAACTGAGATAAGCACCACCGAGGTGACATGAAGTCCCATTTCTAAACGACAATAAAGACAAATTTTTGGATACCGAAA